AGTCCAGAAAAATAATGATAACCACTATGTAGCTTACATGGTTTCCATAAAGATGCTAAAAACATAATGGGTTGCAAAAACTTGGCTACAATAAATGTACTAGGTCTGGGGTCAACAGAGGACAGATTTCCAAAACTTTATGCAGAGCTATACTTAAAATGACAGCTGAAAGCCTTTGCAATGCAGGCATGCCTGGTTCTGATTTTGTAACCAACAAAGAATGACCCAGAACACTGGTTTACATGCCCACATGCTGTTGTAGAACAGTAACTACATGCTAAGGGGCACCAGAAAGCAGGAGACCTACCTCATGCTCTAGAAGCCTACACAAGGTAATGGTGTTTCTTACAGTTGAAAACTGTGGGTTATAGAGTTTGAAGAAGACATTAATCAAGAGCAAGTCAAACTGTCTTTCTGCATCTCCAGTATCATCAACTAGTGGAAATTTTCAAGAAGTCCCAAGAAAGTAGCTACAGAATTTGAAATTCAGGGGTAAGTTTGGAATTTAGACTGTATCCATATACCTGATGGGCAGGGTATGCTACTATGCTTTGGACAGGTGGTGAGTGCTGCCCATAGAATTACCAGGAGCCCTTGGCAGCACCAAAAACATACAAGATAGGCACCTCAGATCATCCGCCCAACTGGCCAACAGTCATTGGGCTTGGTCAAGTACAATGAACACAATCCTTTTACAAATTCAAATATCTTAAACCACCTCTCTCACTCAAGGGTGAGGCACAGTAAAGTGTAGCAAAAGTTCTGCAATAGGACCTGTTGTCACCCTCAGTCTCTGCTCCTACTTTTTATTTTGTGTTACTGAGGTGGAAGGATAGAATAAGAAAGCAAGAGTGGTGAAAAAGGATAAAATCACGTTAAAACAAAAGGAGGCTGGGCGAGGTGGCTCACGCCTGTAAACCCAGCACTTTGGGAGGCCGAGGCGGGTGGATCACGAGGTCAAGAGATCAAGACCATCCTGGTCAACATGGTGAAACCCCGTCTCTACTAAAAATACAAAAAATTAGCTGGGCATGGTGGCACGTGCCTGTAATCCCAGCTATTCAGGAGGCTGAGGCAGGAGAACTGCCTGAACCAGGAGGTGGAGGTTGCAGTGAGCCGAGATTGCGCCATTGCACTCCAGCCTGGGTAACAAGAGCGAAACTCCGTCTCAAAAAAAAAAAAAAGGAAAAATAAAGAGAAGGCATTCAAACTACTTGTACAAAAATAATTACTAAAAACATTCCCATTGTTTAGGTATGCCACTTAATAATAAATGAATTTCTGCACTGAAAAAGGACTAATTTTGAATTCCCTGGAGACTGGCAATTTTAACATATGTTACTGGGAATACATTTGCAAAGCGCAGAATCTTTCATAAAAAAAGAATTTAACCCCCAATCACCTCTGTGATCATGGCATATACAGATTCTTATTGAACCCACTTAAACAGAGATATGAAGATCCATAGAATGAACGAAACAAGAGTGAGACTGAGAGGTTGCAAAAATAACATGGAAGAAGTCAAGCATCCTCACAGACGAGCTGGTTTCTCTCGAGTGTGTGAGGCACAAAACTACTACTGACACGTGCCCTCTCTGGAGCCTGTGAAGGGTGGGTTACCTCCTTCTGCAAAACAAAACCTGCCTTTCTTCTCAGTGTAGCTAACTCTGCCAGTTCAGAGCCTGTCCCTCTCATCTCATTCTGAGTGCCTGCATGCCTGCAGCCGCCTCTCACAGCCAAAGGTGGGAAAGATGGCCCAGAGCTGATGTGGATGTCAGCCGAGGTGTGTCTGTGTGCCAGACACCCCTGCGGCCTCTGGGGTGGAGAGATGAAAAACCAGCTCTGGCTTCCCCTTCAGAAACACACCTACATGGCAAGGTAGCCAACTGCCACAGGCTCCTCCAAAGACAGGGAGGCCGGCAGAGGGCAAAACTAAAAACACAGAGGCCTTAAGAAAGCATACCTGTGCACACCATGACCAACTGGAAAACAAGCCCTACCTTTCCCAGGGAAGTGGAGGAGAGGGCCATGGTGGGGAAAAAACAATAGACAGGGAAGATGAGGGAACATCACTGAGCACCGCAGGCCTGTCTGCCTTAAACTCATTGCTTGCCATGTATAAAAAAAGAAAAGGCTTAGCCAATATATGGCCTCAGATGACTTCATTTTATTTTATGGTGTTTAGATTTTTCCCCCACTTTGCCTTTTTGTGATGAGGAAAAGGGTGGTACTTAGGAACAGGCAGAGCTCACAAAGTTGGAGTTGAAGATGGCTTGCTCAAGAGGCCAGGTTCCCAGGACTGAGCCTCATTGAGCAAAATACCCTAGGGTCTAGTGCTTCAATGCAGTGTTAAAGGCAGCGGAATGAAAGGATGTTTACAAAAATTTCACTATCACAGCTGGTCAGCTAGCCAATGACATCATCAGTCAGTCTCTCAATCTAGAGGCACTGAACACGTCAGTCATTAAAAATGCTTGACCACACAAGGATGGTCTGGTATCTACCTACAAGGCACAGTACTAGGTTACCCAATAACTGGTCTATGCACGTGCTTAAGTTCTCAGTAAAGTTGGGATTACCATGAAAAAGTTTTTCAAAAGATTTTTTTGAAGAAAGTATTGCGGTAGACATCAAGGGAAAATTTCAGATCTTATTTACAACTTATTTTATAAGCACTTTGTGCCTCTTATTGTTTTTATTTTTCTTACCACCACTTTTTTGTGCTTAAGGTTTTTAAAGATTTTATTTTGCCCTGGGTGAGTAAAAGGAAATTGTATTGCAAGATTTTAGGCCTTTCTTTGGTTTCACCAGACCAGGTCATACTAGAATTGAGATAGGTCTTCAAGAGTAACCTTCCAGATGCTTATGAGGCTTTGGAGAGAGTTAAAAAAAGAAGGGAAATGGGGAGCCAAACCCAACAACTCCTAGAGGTCGTGAAATGAAGCTACAGAGTAGTTTGTTGCTGGACAGCATGGTCACCAGATGTGGAAAAATACTTTCCAATTGTGCAATTAAAGACCAAGCATTCTTATCATCCACTTGAATTTATGTCAGAGGACCACTTTCTCCCAACTTTTTTCGAATGAATAAAACCTTTGATCCTTATTCCAAACTGAGGGAGAAAACAAGATTATACTTTTAATTTATTTGTTAAAATTACAACAGATTCAACTGAAATAAAATGATCTTAAATACTTCAGTGTAAACTGTTCAATTTATAAAACAGCAATATTCATAAGGTTATCCCTCACATATTTTCACCATAATCAGTAACAACAGAATTTTGAAAGACTGAATAACAGAAGTGACATGACTGGATGGAAGGCATGGAGAATAAAATGTCAATACTGGTTCTTGTGAAGAGAACCAGTATTTCCCCACGTACAAGCTCTGATTAATCTCTACAGTTTTGTTTGAAGGTTACTCTGCCAAGCCCTCAATTATTTGCACAACTGATGACTTTTTCCATACCCAGTGGACTGCCTTCTTTCAGTTACCCAAAGACTATTCCCAGGTTTCATGTGCCATATGCCTCTGCAGCAATAATGGATTTGGGGCCATGTTTCTCTTATGAGTCCATAATTCTATAACTTTATATATAACTTATAGCAAATACATATTCCGAGATATTTATAGAAACAATGATTTGCATACATACAAAAACCAGAGAGAGAAAAGTTTATTTTGAGATGCGGAATTAGGTAAGGTAAAAGGCAAGCTTGAGCTTTTACTGAGAGTTGAAGTATAAACATTTTGGAGCTCCCCTAAGATGTCTAGACCAGTGTAACAGTAGTCTTTGTTTAGGGCAATGACTTCTAATCTTAAATTTGTGACACCCCAGGGTATCTCCAGATATCTCCCAAGGTGTTGTAAAATTTCCCCCACAACTGCCAAGTAAAATAACTTCAATTCATTTAAAAAGTATGCCACACATGTTTGGACGCAAGGGAGGGCGTCCTGGAATCAAGAGAACAGTCATAAGTATTTCAAAAGCCTGAGCCTTACCTCAATTACATTTAAAAAATCTAAACCAATTTTTGAATAGATACAATAAACGCAGGAAATAAAGTAAGAAGTGATGGTCTACGTGCGTGGTTTTGTGGTTGGGGAAGACAGGGAAGGAGGTGGTTAGTTGGGACACTATTTTAGTGAAAAACCCTTTTGACTTTACTTACTAATGATTGAGTTAGTACTGACTGTCAATTAGAAACCTAGTTCGTAGGTCCTCTCTACCTGCTTGCACTAAACACTGGTGCCTTGAAGTTGGTTTCAAAGATCTCTGTACAGTATTAGTTTATTTGAAACAAATGAACACAGACCATATAAAGTGGCAGCTAGGCATGGTAAGCTTAATTTTGTCAGTATTTCCCTTAGCTTCTGACTGAAACTGTTAACCTGAGGCCCTGGGATTACACAAAGGTTACACATCGCTGCTCTGCAGTATCTAATTCTTAACCTCCTTGGTCATTAAGAGGTTAGTAACTAAAACACCACTGTGGGTTTACCACTGGGAAGTTGGCTTATTGTCATTATGTTTTACTATAGCTTCCAAATATCCAATAAAATATATTTCCTGATAGGTCACTGCCTCAGGCCTCACAGCTTTCTTTATTCTGAACACGCACTTCAATCATCTAATAAATCTGAACATGGATTTCTTCAAGAAGAGTAACATACATATGCACTCAAAAAAAGGGTATCATTTAAAAAAAGCATATTTTTTTTATTAGACAGGCCTGCCTTTTCCCTGGAGAACTCAATTTTGCTGTTTACTTTTTAGTCTTCATATCGCTGTCTATTTAAAATTAGAACTACATTTACATTCCAGTGAGAAATTCCTTACTAAATAATTTTTACTTAACCCTTTATCAACTGTTAATTGCTCTCCAGAAAGAAGTTTCTTTTAAACTAATCCCTTTATAGCACATTTCAAAAGTTATCTGAAGAATCAAACATCAGAAAATTGAGTAGGGAGAGGGGAAAAAAGAAAGTATACTTGCCTTATTTGTAGCAGTAGCACTGGATCCAGGGACCACAGGCACATTTGTCACTTGAACTGAAAGATAATTATTATCTATGAGTGGCCAGGCTCCTTCAACTTTGCATGTCTGGAAGTGATCCTTGAAAGTTCTGAGGTGAGGATCTCCAAATAAGCCACAAAAAAGGTAACTGGGAGGGTTCTGGTCCCCCCTCCTGTGTTCCCTGACTCCAGCATGGCTATGATAGTTGCAAGGATCATGGGTCACTTCGGGGTTGGTAGAGGATGTGGGTCCATCCTTGGAACAATTCCTCTGGCTCATGAGGTCACTGATACCCAACACGGCAGAATGGTATACCAGGTTGCCACGGCAGGCTTTTGAAGTTCGCTGGGTGCAGCCAGCATAGGCACGCAGGGCCTTGCAAAACTCAGAGTCAAAGCCGTCAATGGCAGAGTTCAGGTGAGAAGTTAGGGACACAAAGTCTGTGGTACATTTCTGAATTCGACATTGGGTTGGCTGTTGGCAGTCACCTATAGAAAAGAAGATGAGACCAAACATTTGTAAACTCTTCATAACTTCCTGAGCTACATTAGAATATGACACTGTCCTTTGGGAACTGTTGGTTCTATTTTACATACTGTACTCCTATTTTAAGAAGCCTTCAGAAATAGGGTTTCATTGTGCTCCTGTGTCTCTCTCAAATTAAGCACTGGAAGAAAAACTGCATGTAATTAGTTAACTTAAAACGTTAATGCATGAGCCACTGTGAGTGAACATGAGTCTAGTCCAGCGTTTATAGGTTGAGATTTTAAGGGAATAGTCAATAAAATATTTTATCATTATTGCTATTTGTTTATAGGTTTTGGAAAAGATTTCTCTATTCTAAGGTTATGCCAAAAACATGAACATTGTTTTGATTTTCAAAATTGCATAACTTGCTTCAGAAGGCATTGTAAAAGCAGCACTAAGCACAAAACCATGGTTTAAACCTCCACATCTCAGGAAGGTATAAAATCCTAAATTATAGTATAATTATTTAAAACATCTTTACTTGATTTACCTGTATGGCTACAGAATAAGATCATCAAGGAAAAAAAAAAAAATCCAAGTACTGTCATTCTACTTCTGAGGCATGTTTACTAAGAAACTGTAAAAAAAAAACTGGCACAATTTCCTAATTTCAACAAAATGGAAATGCTCTAAGAAGAAGAAGAAGAAGAAAAAAGATTCATTTCACCAAGCTATATATTTACTTTTTCCTTACCATCTGTATCTCCATTACCCTAGGATCCCAGCTCCCAAGCAGATCACAAGTAAGAGCACAGTAAATAAACACCAGTGACACAAACATGAAAAAGCAAAGTTTTACTGTACTATTAGTTTAAAAAAATCAATTTCCAAACGATGCTTTTTAACATTAGGTTCTCAAACAAAAACTTACAAAATCTCCTAAAGCACAAGAACTGCCAATACTAAGTCAGTTGTGTGCCCCAAATAATTTAATATTCTGTTCCATAAAATGGAAACAACAGACTTATTCAAAAGAGACACTGTTCTTTATCATCAACTACAAATTTTCTATAAATGAACTGTAATACATATTTGTGCTACATAAAATTCTTTATAGGTCTTTAAACTATGAAGAAGGTCTCTGAATCTCTAAGTCTTAGGGTCCTCTTCAGAAAAATGAGGAAGTTATTCTAAGATGAACTCTGTGATCTTTCTAGACAGCAAATATCTTATAATTTGCATTCTGGATAGGGGAAAAAATTCAGGGCCAGTAGATTATTATTAAATATATAATTATTTCAAGATGTGGATGTGATAAACTTTAGGATGATATCAAGATTTAGGGAACTCCATCTGATAAAGATTTAAAATTAAGCCTAATATTGTCTTAGAAAGCTATTTTAACATTTTCAGCAGCAAACTGCTCTTAAATCTGAATTTATTAGCCTGTAATCTGTTTCTAGCTTTAGCTGGAACAAATAGGTGGAAAGAGACAATTTCTGAAGACAACTCTGTCACCATTTTTAAATCTGAAAAACCAAAAAGGGGAAAATATTATGTAGTCTATGTTTGATATTTACTTTAACCTAAGTAAAAGATGAAAACATTTTAATACGTTGGAGCTATGGATTTACAACAATTATCAAATCATACTTTCAAAAAGTTACAAACACATCTTTGTGTGTAATCTATTTTGTTTGCTCAGTCCAAAGCTGACAAAAGTAGCTGCAGTATTTACAGAATTCCTCTTTCCAAAGCAGATCAAGTCACTTTCAGGTATTTTTTTTTTCTAGAATCCAAATCAAACCAAAACAGAAATCAACCAACTAAACAACCCCAAAAGGCATTAAAGCCATTTTGCAGATGGAAAAACCAAGGCAAAGGGAAATTAAAGGGCTTGTTCTGGCGGAATCATAAAACAGCTAGCATTATTAAGCCAGAACGTGGTGCCTTCCCTCAAAACTTGTTGTTTTTCCATCACAGGTCATGTCTCCTTTTATTTCCTAACTCTAATGACAGTACTTGATGGTTAAAAAAAGACTTAAGTAGCTACTGTATTTTTTTTCTTTTAAAATCAGATACATGGAAAGCAAGAAAATAAAGACAGGGCCAAGATCTCAGTAATGAAGAGCTCTTAAGGCTGCAGATAAATGACAGCACAAGAACTTCCCGCTAAACTTGCAGTGCCTATTTGTTCTTTTTATGGTCTATAAAATCTGTCCGAGCATATGTTTATTTATAATTATTTCAAATAGTCATAAAATATCAAAAGTAAGAACAGTATGGAAATGCAGATGGAATCGTTCAGAAGGGAATAAAAGCAGAATTTAGATTCCCAGCTCCCTTTTCATACCTTCCTCATTATCCCACAAATCTTTCCCTTTTTCATAGCAGGTTGGTGCTGACTGCTTAAAGAAATCTCAAATCAAACAGATCGCCTTAGTTTTTTTTTTTTTTTTTGCTTTGGATAAATCCTTCAACAGCCTTTTACTACAGAGATGAGGGGAGCGAAGGGGGCTAGAGAGAAAGTACGTTTGGGTCAGCATTTTCAGCTTCACTGCGGGCTCCTGTATAATGACAAATTTGTAGCATACACCCAGAAATATCCAGGCTTCATGAATTTATAATGACAATGCACACTTTGCCTGTTATAGACAGTAAAGTAAACCTCCTGTCAAAATACCAAGACAATGCAGAGCAGAAACAATCTCAAGGATGTAGCCAAGAAGGCCATGAAGTGTATGAGTAAGCAAGTAACCTCCATATTGGATCTCCATTCAGGAATTGCAGAGGTTTGCTTAAAAAAAAAAAAAGTGCAACTAAAAGTATTCTTTTTATACTCCTCCAGAGGCAGACTTCAAACTCTTCACTCTTTAGTTACAGATTTCTCTATTTTTGGGACAGACCATCCGTGCAGTGTGATAGCATTTTCAACATTTGTGGGTCTAGAGCTTTCATTTAATCATTTTTTAATGAATCAAACATAAAGACCTCACCATTCAAGACAGTTTCCTTAACAACAGGACTACATGTGTGAATTTGCAGCACATCGCCACTGTGTAATAAAGGAAATGAGATATGCTGAAGCTGAATTAAGTGAAATGTGGAGCCATATGGGGTGCTGAGGCATATGATAAGGATCCAGGCATAAAACATACAGTAGTCCATCTGAAAGAGCACTCGCTCTCTTGCTAGGCTCGCTTCTCTCAGAAACACCCTGGGCATTTAAGTAGCACCACTCTCCAAAGAAATCTCTCAAAAGAAGCGTTCTTTTTCTTAACCAGATAAATTGCTTCAACAAGTTGTCCACAGAAATCACTCACCACATTCTGTTGGGTTGAATCTAATGGTGACTTAAATGAAGACACAGGAAGATACCGAGAGCTTCACATTCCAAATTCTTGAACTAAGACACCCTACTTTCCTAAAGATTTAAGCCAACCTCGTATGCCTTTCACAGGCCAGCAAAGAAATCTTCGAGGACCATATTCCAATCCTGTCACAGGATCCTATGGCAACTATGGGAAACAATATTCAAGCAGCCAAAGGGGACAGAGTCCCCCTAGCACAATTTCCATTTCATGAAACGTACATTTTGGTATTATGGACACATTTTTCACATAAAACACTCCTGAATATTATTTTTTAATATGTCAAGAAAAATTATCCATGTAACTACATGCAGTTTGACACTATTTTCTAAGGTTGAGTTACTAACAGAAAGCAGTAATCATTCTAAAACTTTCTATTACCCTTTTTTAAAATTAAGTCGTCAGTCTTTTCCCTAATTGATAGTGTTAAAAAGCAGTTATTATATCACAATGCAAAGCTATGCTAAGTAAATTAAGTCCTCTCAAATGCCAGATCACCCCCACCCATTACTTAAAAGATCTCCCTGATTTTTAGCTCGGCGGGTGTGGTTTAATAAAAAAGTAAAAATCACTCCGCATAGTTGGATGGCACTGAAGTTCAGGATTCTCCAGATCAAACATTGTGAAGCGTCATATACAGGACAAAAAGCTCTTGAAGGAAAAAAAAAAAAAACTTATCTAATGCTCTGTTCTCAAGACTAAAAGACACTTTCCCTTTCAACCTTAGCATTAAGAGAATTCTTTGTCTAGGCAAACTCCTAAAAGAAAACAGTGTGAAGAGCGTCCTGGATTTTCATGAAACGCTTTTTAAAAAAGAAAAATAGATATCACATGGTAGAAGGGTCATCTGCAGGCTTACTTCCCTAAGAACATAATCCTCGAGGCTGGGGCAGCGCCGACCTCCAGAAGGCAGCATAGTTATCTCTCAGCCCCTCACCGAGCCCAAAAACACCCGGCTAGCCACAAAGCACGAGCTTTTCCAGGGAGGCTGACCGCTGAATTAAAAGCAGCTTTTGCCAAAACTAAAGAAATCCCTGGTCGAAAAAGTTGACGTTACTTCGAGATTAACTCCCAGGTCTGCAAACTCTGGTGAAAATCTTTACATCTGGTGCGCTTCCTTCGCCTCGCCGCCACCCCCAACTCCAGAAAAGCAGCACAAGGCTCCTTGTCTCCCTCCTAGGCGGCTGCAGCGGCGGAAACCTGATCCGAGCCTGACTTTCAGTAAACAGCAGCGCTGAGAGCAATAAAGCATCCGGAACATTTGTCTCCGTCGCGCGGCCCCCGCCCGCTTAACGTTTGATAAGCGGCTGCTGGACGGGAGATCTGTCAGCGGTCCGAGACGAAGACCCGGAGGGTGGGGAGAGGGCTCGTCTCCGCGCCCGGCGACCGCCCATTGGGCGGCTGCGTTCCTGTCGCCGGGAGCCTGGTTGAGGTGAGGTGCCTGTCACGGGCTCGGGAGGCCTTTCCCGTTGCGCCACGCCGCCCTTCCGCCCCGGCGAGCGCCTTCGAGACCTGGGGCTGTTTGGGAACAAAGCCCTCAGCCCCGGGGCTGGCTCCCCTCGCGCGCTCCCATCCTACCTGCGTGGAGCAGCCCGAGGCTGAGTAGTAGCAGCAACAGCAGCTCCAGCGGCGGCGGGCAGAGCCCGGGGCGGCGGCGCTGCTCAACCTCGGCGGCGGCGGCGCAGGAAGGTGCTGCTCTCAAGCCCATGCCCGTCCATGCAGGTCTCGTGGGCTCCGGCGAGGGCGGCGGCGCGGGCGCCTTGGCGGGTCTGGGCCCGTGGCTGCTGCATGGGCCGAGGGGCGCGCCTCGCTTCCTCTTCTTCCTCCTTTAGGCCCGCGTAAGAGATGGGCCGCCACCACCACCGCAGCAAGCAGTGCGCCACAGGCGCAGCCAGTCGGCGGCGGCAGCAACGGGGCGCAGGGGCATCGTGGCGGCGGGGAGGGAAAGAAGGGCAGAAGAGAAGACACAAAGACCGTGAGCGACTGCTGAGACGAGTCCCGAGAGCGCAGGTACCCCAGCCCCAGCCAGCGTGGGTTCGGCGAGCGTGGACCTCCGAGCAGCTGGCGCAGCCCTAGCAAGCAGCCCGCAGGCGGCCGGGATATCTGTGCGGCTGTCCCCGCGGTCAATCAATCTCAGACCCGCACTGCCGTCCCGCCCCGCCCTGTGCCCGCCTATCCGCGCTGCCTTGACCGCCCTCCCTCCCTTATTCTCCATTGGCTGGGGTTGCATGTCCGCCTGGCTCAGCCTGCCAATCGCAGGACCCAGAGGGCCCGGTGCCCCGCCCACTTAGTGTAATTCGAGTTCCGGGTCCATCGACTGCAAGTTCTCTCTCCTACGCCGCAACCTTCCTCGTGCTTTCTTTCCTCTCCCGTCTACACTCTTCCGCAATTTACTGTTTCCTTGCGCCCAATAGAAATGGGCGACCGCCACTCACTCTTGCCGGCATTACAAAGGTATCGGCCTTTGACCTCTCCTTGAATTATTGTGATCGGACTTTTTTCTTTTTTCTTTTTTTTAATTTAATCACTCCTCCCCGCCCTGGCCCTGCCAGCTTCAGCTCCACCTCCTTGGAGGAAGCCGGCGCTTTTACCGAGCGCCGCGCGGCAGGTCACCTTTCAGCCAATCACATCTGCGGAACCGCGTTCCGAGCAGCTTGCGGGAGTCTAGTAAAGTAAGCTCGGGCGGTGTTGGAAATCTGAATGTCACCCGCGGTCCGGGGCAGATAGGACGGGCTGGGAAGGTACCTGAGAACTCCCGGAGTAATTCGCTGGCAGCTGCGCGAGGCTCAGGTGTTCTAGTTTTTTTTATATTTCCCTTCCTGAAAGCCGCAAAAGAGAGGTCTAAGAGTGGGCAGACTTCAACGTTCTGTTACAGTGTAATTAATGAGAGTGGTGCGTTTTTATGCAGTGTAACTATGCCATGATTTGTTGTTGCTCAGTGGCTTTTCCACAAATTTCTACAGATTTATTCAGTTTTCCATAAATTTCTACAGATTAATTCAATGTCAGGTCACTTTCTCCTTTTATGATCGGATGGGTCCAAAAGTGAAGAAAAAGACAATTGTCTGCACAGAAAGAGGCTGCCAAGTGGAGACAAAAGCAGTTGTGAGATTGATGAGAGTCCAATTTGTTATCAGTAGGTGTGAAGTGATATCTAATCTCAAGAATGACCTCAAGGCTGAGAGACACTTGATACTGCCCTAGGCCTTAGCTGTTCCCCAAACAGCACGGCTGCCATTTAAAATCCACTAACACCCAAATCGTTGCTGGCAACTCTACCCGCTACATTACTCAGAATCTCTAATTTAATTAGGAATTTCATATCAACCACGGACATGTTGATATTCCATACATGTTTAAATGTACTAATCAATGGACTAGGATAATTGAGGGGCAAACCTCCTGTCTCACCAGCTCACTCAGACACACTGTGAATTGCTCAAACCACTAGATCCCTAATCAAGGATGCCTATCTGTTTTTACTGTAACTTTTCATTACTTACTTATTACATACTATGATGACTCAAGGGGTAAACACACCTTTCACTATCCACGATATAATCCAAGCCTTGTGTGTATCCATAATATGCTTAATAATAGCTTCACAGTTGCCTGGAGAAATGACTTTTGGGGAGGAAGATACATGACATTTTCAGATAATGCCGTGGACTAAATATTATTAGAGCAAAAATTTACCATCTTGCAATTGCTTCATATAATTAATGAGATATAATTCATGATATACTAAGAAGTATCTTTAAAAAGTAATGAAATATAATACTGATTTTCAAAGTATTTGGCTAACAAAGACTAAAATGTTTTTTTCCTCTTAACCCAAGGCCCTATAAAAGAAGCATCTCACCGTATTGACCGTATTACAAAACATACAACCAATAGTTAAGGATCAAAAATTTCAGTTTGGTTTGGGTCTTTCCGATTGTGACTTTATATGATTTTTTTTTCACTCCCCTCCCCCCATATCCTGTTCTGTAAGTACACGAGTGCTCTAGATTTCCTTATCAATAGAGGGCGTCCTCGAGTCATTGCAAATACTGGTGGTGTGAAACAACTGTTCTGAGGAAAAACTTCATTGTCTCTAAGGTGCTTTATTGCTCCTCTATTGTAAAATTTGACAAGCTCGAGATTTATAAGCCTAACAATTCACTTTTTATTGCTGCATAAGTGTTCAGACGCTAGAGGAAAATGCTAATTTTCACAATTAAACCACATGGTGATTCCTATTTTCAAGACATAAGTCAGTTGACAACTCGCGGGTAAATTGGTACTGTTAGAAAGATCAGAAATCGGCTTGGAAAGCAAGAGCATAGTGCATGGTCGCTTATAGCACTGCCATTCAAGCCGGTGAGCTGCAAGTTACAAAGGATTTTAGATTCTACAAAGAAAAATCGGAGAGGGTGCTAAAACACAAACATAAAATCAATGACTTATAAAAGTTTTATGTTTTAATCAGATAAAAAGAATGAAGTGACTGATGACTTGTGTAACTCACACATCCACCATGTTTCTTGCCACTGGTGCACTTTCTCCCTTCCTCTTTGTTTTCAGGAAGGAAAGAGAAAGAGGAGACCTGAACAGTACATTCAGGGGAGTGGACAGAATTAAAACACATGCCAGAAACACTAATGGATTCTAAACAATATGCGGTTTCATTTCCTGAACCTATACGTGATGTTTTAACTGTTTTCTAGTTAATATGTCTCCATTTCCAGAAATCTAACAGGAGGATCTCTGCCTGCTTAGCAGATCACCTAGGTTTCCATATGTGCAATCCATTCTAGAGTAAGGGCTCCCTGGCTGCTCCTCCGTCTACTATGTATACAAAGCAGCGGCTGAAATAGCTTGGAGTCCGACAGCGCAGCGTCAAGCAGCTCGTGGTTTGTACTTACATCATTTTTTTTTTTTAAAAAGCAGGAGTGAAAGTTTATTAAAAAGCTTTAGAATAGTAAGGAAAGAAAGGAAGGAAAGGAAAGGAGAGAAAAGAAGGAAAGTACAACTTGGAAGAGGGCCAAGCGGGCGACTTGAGAAACCAAGTGCCTGTACTTACATCATTCTTAACCCTTCCGCTCCTGGAGAGGGATCAGGGAGCCCCCGGACTTCGGAACACGCAGGACCTGGGCGTGAGAGAAGAATCCCAGAGCTTGGTGTGAGCAATGCACCCCCGGAGGGAGCGAGCCTGGGGCCTGTGAGGGGCTCATCACCCACTCGTACGCAACGGGCCCCCGCAATCCCTGCGGGCTCGGCTCCTGCTCTCACCGCTCAAAACGGCAGGTGCAAAAAGCATTTGGGAGCCTCTTGCCAGCGCGCGGAGGTAATGCGCTTCCTGTCCATTTATCTCAGGAAACCAGTGCAGCCTTCCCTTCGAAACAAAATTAACCTCTCATTAGCCAGCCACTCGCTCCCAAGAAGGCCTTAAAAGCTTTACCAGCTCGCTAATGTATTTAGGCTTTTCTTGCAGGCAAACGCAGCCGCCGGTCTTGACTGCCATCAGCTCAAGGGGTTCCTCTGGGCTCTCCCGCGAGCCAACAGCCGACCTCTCTGCAGCCTAGTCTGGGCAACTTCAGCCAACTCAGGATCCTATTTTGTAGTCCGGGGCAGACCCGACACCCCTGAAAGAACTCCACGCCAGAAGAAGCCAGAACAAGTTCCCACGAATTTCATGAGCGCCCTTCACATTAAACCCTCAGCTTCCCTGTCCTCAAGAGAACAGGAAAGGGCGCTGGGGAGGGACTTCGGCGGCCAGCTGTCCCTGGGTCGTGGGCGCTGATTGCTCTGCGGAGCACCAGCCCTGCACACAGCGGGTGCGGGAAGCGTTGATGGGGGGCTGGAGGGTGGGGGAGCGAAACTAGGATCTAGCTGGTTCCAGGCGTGGAGAATCAAATGTGGTCTTAGATCTGTAAGTGGCGAAAAGGGGCTTTTGGGAACGTCAGGGCTTTCTCACCCCGGCCCCCCGCCGCCCGGAGGCTGGCAGATTTATACCACACAGGTGGATGGAGACCTAAACAAAACAGTCCCGGCTGCTGCCTGCCGCTCGCCCCCCACGTCCCCCGGGCCCACCGCAAACTTCAGCAAAATAAACAACTCACCACAGGCATTCCCTTGTCTGCAGCACGGCGCTTGCCAGCTGGGAAAATAAGCCGCAAGCCACGCGGCCGAGGCGCGGAGGGAAGGCAGCGCGGCGCCCGCCCCTCTCCCCCAGGTGGGGGCAGCGGGACTCGGGGCTGGAGGGAGGCTCCGCCTCGGGGGCCGCACTCCCAGCTCTCCGACTCCGGAATGAGCTCTCGGAGAGGAGCTGCGCCCTTCCAGCTAGCGCGATTTCTCCGCCACCTAGGCGAGAGGGCGGGGAGCCCAATCCCCACCAGCTTCCTCCAGGCTGCTTTCTCCCTACTTTAGCCTCAAATAGAGGCTAAAGGAGACCCCCACCCCCGAGCAACTCCTCTATCGCCACACTGCCCCCTGCCGGCGTTACCCGGCTCCTTCCTGCACAGCCTACAGCTGGGGGCGTAGGGGCGCCCCAGACCTCCGCGTCCAGTTCCCGGCCCAGTTCTCTCTTTGCCTTCCCCCCACCACACTCAGTCTTGCACAAAGACGCCTTTCACGCAGCCAGCGCCACCCTCCGCGCCGTCCTCCGGGCCAGCGGCGCTGCGTTCGCCCACCCGCGGCACCGACCGATTCCTGGTGGGCGACTGTGCGCGTCGTCGCGGGGCAGGCGGCAGCGGACGCTTGCGGGCTGTTCCCAGTCCGCACCTCTGCCAAGGCGCCAGATGCGCTGCCCCCGCCCGCCACATTCTCTAGCTTCCCGCCAGCAGCCGCAGAATGCACCCCGTTCTCTCCGTAAATGATCCTTGAGGGTCTTCCTAGTGTGTCTAAATATGGGGACAGTGGCAGGAACGATCCTCCGGACTTTCACCGAAAGAAGAAATCCAGCGACCTTCCCTGACCACCTAAGGTGCCAGTGTGTCTTTACAGCTTAAGAGAGCCAAAGATAAAAGATTTGGGAATAAAGAGGGAAGAGAGGGTTTAAAGGGACACCTAAGACCTAGAGCAAGTGTGTTGCAAAGAACGAGCCCATGAAATGTTAGAGGGAGGACGGTCGCTTCGATCAGTGTAGAAGTCGTGGAGGGCAAGAAAGCGATTAACTTTCTACCTTAGATTAATCTTCCAAAGTAGAGGGGGAAAAAAGCATCCTAGATACTCAGCGGCAGCTAATAGGCGCGTTCAACCCTTGGAACGAGCGGGCTGCTTCTCTTAGTCAAGTCAAATGCTTAAACATCTTCACTCAGGGAGGTCGTTTCTTGCCTCCTTAGGCAGGAATCTATGACCCTCTCCAGCTTTTGCCTTCTCCTCCCACAGCCCCTCCTTATAGTTTCTTGGGCTAACGCTAGAGGCAGCATAGGGCAGTGTAAAGAGGGCGAATGGGAATCCACAGAAACACAGAAGAGGGTCTAGTCCTGAGTTTCTGGGTCTGGGTCTCAGGCAACTGATTTAACGTCTTTGGACCCTCGTGTCACTATCAAGAAAGGATGTGTAAAGGGAAATAATTAGTAAAATTTACATATTCTTCTGTTTCGTAAATTCAGTGATAATGACTGCCCTTCCTCCAACCCGCTGCAGGTTCCTCCTTAGTGTTTTTTCACTTTGCTTTATCTTCTCCAAGTGCCAAACTGAAAAAAAAAAAAATACTGAGATTGTTTCAAGGTAAATGTAAGATATATTGAAACATACTCTTCTGCATCTGAGAATTAAGAAGAAGAAGAAAAAACCCAACTCAGCTTCTGTTTCACAGAGCAAGGAATTTTAATGTCCCCACACCCTTTGCTTTTGAAAAGCCACTCCAGCAGTCAGCAAAGCACAGCTTTGATTTAGAAACTAAAGGCTAGTCTCTTGTGTTTTTCTTTTCCCTTCCACCAACACAAAGACAAGCTGCAGCATAAAATAATGATGAACAAGAGTTCAAAGCAAGCCCAGTGGGCCAGCCCACAGGATGTTTTTTAATGCCACCAGTCCTTCCTCTCTCTCCTGCTAAGCTGGACAGTACGTAAATAGCAGGCACAAGCTGCCCGAATTCCCTGCCTCCTCCACTCTTTTCCCATAAATATTGGTCAGTGGAGCCTGGATGCTAACTTGTCAATCATCACAGAAAAGCATTCATCAAGTAATACATTTAATTTTTCCTTAGTTCCATAATATTTTTCAGAATTTTAAATTCACTACCCACTTTGGAAACTTGAACCTGAGTTCTTCCTCTGGGAAAGCTTGTCTGTTTTTGGGGAACTTTCTATGCAACCAAGGCAAAAAAGTGTAAAATCTCATAATGAAGTACTAACTTTTAAATTACAAATCTCTTGTTTTAATTTAAACAATAGAATTTCAATAATGGCTTAGCTTTCATATAATGCTCCCTTTTAAAAGCTGTCTATTAAAGAGAGTTCTTAAGAATCTTTTCATTGGGAAAAATTTTCCTTAAATAATAGTGGTGGGAAAATATTGTGAGCGTGTCTTATTCTGTTGGTTTCATTTTTTTTTTCAGTTATATTTTAGGCTCAGTATGATTACTCACACCTGTAATCCCAGTGCTTTGACAGGCCAAGACTGGAGGATCACTTGAATCCAGGAGTTAGAATGAGACTAGGGAACATAACAAGACTTCGTTTCTACAAAATTTTTAAAACTTAGCTAGACGTGGTGGCACATGCTTGTAGTCCTAGCTACTTGGGAGGCTGAAGTAGGAGGATAATTTGAGCCCAGGAATTTCAGGTTACAGACAGCTGTGGTCCAGTCACTGCACTCCAGCCTGGGCAACAAAGTGAGACCTTGTCTCTTAAAAAACAAGTTATACTTTAATTGACAAATAAAACTATAGTTATGGTATACAACATAGTGTTTTGAAATATGTATACATTGTAGAATGGCTGGATCAAGCTAATTAACATATGCATTACTTCACATACGTATCTTTTTCGTGGTGAGTACAATTGACATGTACTCTCAGTGAATTTCAAGAATAGAATACTTTGTTAGTAACTGTAGTCAACATTTTATACAGTAGTCTGTTGCTTTCAGTTGTATCAATCTCAACACTTCCACTGTCTCACTCAAATATGCTAAAACATTTACATTTCTAAATAGACCTTGGATGTTTCATTGGTAAAAGAACACGGCTTGTTTCTTCTCCTTATTTAAAAAAAAAACTTAATGCTTCACAACTTTCCCACCTTATCTCATTTTGATCTTTTTTTTTTATGTCACATCAAGCAAAATAGAACAAAGATGGGAATAGAGAAGGGTCAAAAAGTCCCTTTTCAGTAAAGTTGACTTAGCATTTTTCTACTGACTATAAAGAAACTTTTTGCTGATACAACATATATATGCACTGTCTTCTGAACATTCACTAAAAGGTGAAAGCACTTGAACTTTTAGAATATTCAGCTAATGTGTACATCTAACCCTTCAGTTGTCAAGGTCAGAGCTTGCTTACTCCTGACATTCCTAAGTTTTTTTTTTTTTTTTTTTCATTTGTAATTGTGGAAGTCATCTTAATTATTAAGAAGCACATGAATCGGCCGGGCGCGGTGGCTCAAGCCTGTAATCCCAGCACTTTGGGAGGCTGAAGCGGGTGGATCATGAGGTCAAAAGATCGAGACCATCCTGGTCAGCACAGTGAAACCCCGTCTGTACTAAAGATACAAAAAATTAGCTGGGCATGGTGGCGTGTGCCTGTAATCCCAGCTACTCAAGAGGCTGAGGCGGGAGAATTGACTGAACCCAGGAGGCGGAGGTTGCAGTGAGCCGAGATCGCACCATTGCACTCCAGCCTGGGTAAGAAGAGCGAAACTCCGTCTCAAGGAAAAAAAAAAAAAAAAGCATATGAATCAATTTCCTAGTTTTTTTTTTTAATCCTCACTGAGGAATGATCTTGGCGGAGATCTTGATTTTTTGTTTGTTTTACTTTTCTTGCATGTTTTGTTAAAAATTCTTCCCTAAATTAGTTTCAGATTGATGTCTAAATTAATAGTTCCTTTATTTACTCGTAATGTTTGAGAATTATTATTGTTAATAGATGATACGATTTTAAATATTGGTAGTACTAATAGTGTGATTGGTAAGGAACAGAATATCAAATCAGCTACATGGGGCTGCATGAGCCTGCAGTTCCAGCTACCTGGGAGGCTGAGGCAGGAGGATCCCTTGAGACCAGGAGTTTGAGGCCAGTCTGGTCAATACAGTGAGATTTTTATCTCAAAAAAAAAAAAAAAAAAAAAAGAAAGAAAGAAAGAAGAAAAAAAAATACTTATAGTATTAGGATAAAATATTGCTCTCTAGATGGGATTTAATAAATGTGTGTTTAATTAAACATTGAGGTTCATAAAATTCTGTTTTGTTTTATAGGATCAGTGTTTAAATTGAAAACATAAGAAATCTAAGACCTACTTGTACATTTAAAACGGTGAGGATTTGCTTTGCTTCCTTCCCACTCCCCAAAAAAGATACAGGACAGCTGTCTTGAACCATCAGCTCATGTGATAGTTAAGGTAAGGAATTCTGGTAAATTGCAAATTTAAAAAATGAAATCTCTAGATACATACCCAATGAACAAAGAAAAGTAAAAGAAAAAAAGGAATATTTTGTAGAAGATGAACATTGTTATAATCTATCAGTCATGCAAGTCTGATTTCCAAGAGAAATCCAACAGTTCTAAAGTATTCCTATATATGTGCACAATAAAAAGGTACATGAATACACTTTAAATTAGTAAAGTCAGTATTTATAAAGAAGTATCAGGAAAAAAGCTTTTTTTTTTTTTTTTTTTTTGGTCTACTTAGTGTTAGCAAAGCTCTTCTCTTGAAGAACTTTCACTCTTCATCTTCCCATTATTGGCTGGCATTTAGAAACTTTCTCTCCCTCTCTTCATTCCTTCATTCTTCAACAAATGTTTCCCAGCTGTTAAGTACTGTAATTAGGCACTGATTATACAACAGTGTATAAAATAGACCTGACCCCTCTTCCCAGTGTACCTTCAGCTTAGTGGTTCCTTTTCTGCCAGGCTGGCCAGGAGAAAATGGCTCCAGCTTCTTTTCTTCTTTGTATTCATGGAATAAGGGCTGGAAGGGGCTTCTTCACCTTTTACACACACACACACACACACACACAGACACACACACACACACACACACACCCTTTTCCTTGCCCTTTCCCTCTTTCCAGTGCTTAGTTGTTTTTTTTTCTAGTAAGTCTCATTTTTTTTTTTTTTTTTTTTTTAGGGAAAAACAGGCCCCAAAGTGAAAACATTTTAAGTCATTCAGCACGGTTGAAAATAGTGGAACATAAAACAGCAAGGACCGGACTTTTTTCATTGTATCTGTTGAGTATTCCAGTTGCGATTATGATAGACACACCTAGCTATACTAACACACACACATATAGTCTTTTCTAGATCTTAAGTCTAAAGAGGCAATTTATACATCCCAAAGATATCCATACTTCTCCATTAAATTTGCTTTATAAAAATGAACTCCATGAAGTTGGAAAGAAACCATTTTAGTGAAGTAAATAACTGTGAAGATGCCCATATGTGAACAAATTTAGACCTATTGCTATAATTCATAGTTTCTTTCATAGGGAAAATCTCTATTCCCACACTCGTATATACAATGGTAAGAATATCATAAATGACAGAATGGAACACACAGCAATCCTTAACGTACTGTGAAACATG